GTTAAGGGCCGGTATATATCTTAAGAGGTGTTTCAGATCACGTTTCCCGGTTCTTTTTTATTCTTGCTGCCTATGCTTATCTTAACAGGTGGGTTAGGTACATCCAGGGAATCCAGCTATTTAGAGTATAGCTAACATACTTTTAAAATTAAAGTGGTATCGTCAAGTTTCCTCAGAACGGCAAATACTTCATGTATAGTGAACATAGGTACGACCGGGGCCGTTGTCCAGAAATCGTTAAAGTTAATGCTAAGTTATGCTACGATAACACTTCTGATATGTAATGTTTGGAGATAGCGTTGACGAAAACATCGCAGCTATTAGAAAATTCCCCGTAAACAGGAATTTATCACCAGCTGCTGATTGGATGAGAATAATCAAAATTCAAATTATTAAATTTAGGTGAAATACACTTATGAGTCGTTGGTGAGCGTTATGGGGGCGCCCTACTACCTTACCCTAATTCTAACCCTACCCCTAACCCTAACTAAAACCCACCATACCTAACCTAACCAATACAGGTTGTTTAGGGTTAGGGTTAGAATTTAGGGTTAGGGTTCAGTAGGGTAGGCGCCCCCATTACTGGCGGCCATACTGGACGGGTCATTTAAGTTGTATTTGAATTTATTGTACATACCGTAATTTATGATATGTATGATGGCTACACTATATTTATTTGATGAAACATCGTGGTCATGATTAATTCTGGGACAAGAAAATTTCCATGTAGCCGAGAGCCGAGAGTCGTGGCATGCGTGGAAACCTTTGAACATGAACAAATGCGCATAGACATTTGTAATGTTTGTTTTGTTTTTATTAGCGGTAGATATTATGATTTTGAGGTTAGAAAAAATTTGTTATTATTTAAATATAATATATTAATTGCTTAATTCGTAGTGTAGTGTGTTATTTTTAACGTTTATTTAAGTTACGAGAGGGTCTGAGGCTTCTGTAATTGTTATGAGGATATTTGCGAGATTTTTTTGTTATCTGTAACCTTATCGGATGTTTCTGTCAACCCGGTTTACGGAGTGGAGTATGGTAAGGACTTATATAACCATTTCATAGGAATTAATTATCGTAGTGATATTATATTTTTATATATGATAAATGTGTTTTCTTCCGTCAAATATTATTATTACCGGTAACTCGCAAACAAGCAATAATCTTTACACGATTGAGCGTATGGAGTGTTTGAATAAGTGCTGCCCAGTCATTCGCAACGTAGGCCGAACTTTGGCGACTGGGGACGCCCCCCCAAAATTTAAAAGTTCCACGCCGAGCGGGCAGGAACATTCGCTCTAAACACTACTTACTTCGCGCGCTATTTGTTGCTGTTACTTCGTGTTTAAAAGGCTATAATTATTTCACAGAGTTGCTTTTGCCCTAGAAAATGAGTTTTGCTTCTAGGCGTGAGTCTGTGTGATTCACGGTTTGTATTAAATTAGATATTTTTGGAGTTGACGAATGGGACTTTGACTTTGAGCTGTTTGCGGTTAACGAGACCAGTTTCTACTTAGAACCTTAACAGAGATCTATTCTGCGTAGCAAGATGGCGGCGGAACACAGTATTTGTGACGACTCCGTGTTATTGGCATTTAACACAATAATGAAGCGGATCCAGCTGGACTTTTTGTTATTGTATTTACGGACATTTTCACTTCAATAACAGAGATCATGGTCTAGATTATGCTAGCGTTGACATGACTGAAAATAGAGTTTTCATTCTTCCGTAATGTTTTTGCGGTTGGGTTGGGTTGGAATATGTTGGTTATGATTATATGGTGGATATTTAACGTAAAGCTATGTTCGATATATTATGAAAACGTTGGCCCTATAGACTTGTGAGTGACGTTATGTATATGATTGTTCTGTGTGTTTCCTGGCTTGTTGGTGTATATTATGTCAGGCTGGTTGACTGTGTACCCGGTCCGGCTACCAGTCAACTCAGTGCAGAGACAGCGTACGCGCGTCTCCAGAGCATGTTACAGCTTGATCCTATAGAATTCTGCTTGCTGTGTTAGCATTATGCTCACAACTTATTATCTGTTGTCTTAACAGCGGTGATGTAGTAAGTATTTTGTGTGGGTGTGATATTAATGTATTGATAGGTAGGTTTAATTGTTTGATTGGGAGTAATGGTTGCGATGTAGCCGTCTACCCCCGGTACGCAATGATAAGTATCGCCGAGTGCGGATTTTTGGCGTGCATGAAATGGTAAAGAAGGTGGTTATTCTGTCAAGGGGTGGTTGTTTTGGATGTAATATGTTATGGACGATTTTAATCCATGTCAGTGTAATATTATGTTTATTGGTTTCCCAGATGGTTGGAGTGCTTTATGGCGCAAGCCATTATGGGTCCGATGTAACAGTCAGAACCAAGAGCACTTTTCCGTTGGGGTTGTGGCAGTGCGTTCGTACTAGTAAGAGTTATTAAGTCGATATCGGCTGGTCTATATGGTGTGTACTTTATTGGTCAAACTCATTCACTAGTATGACGTCTTATTTTATTATAGCTTGTTAATTTCGTTTACAAACTAAATTTAGGCTAGCTGGCTATGAGACATTTTTGATGTAATAGAAAAAGTGTTGGTCCTCCTGTAATTCTATATTGTAATAATTTCGTGTAGTTAGATATAGGATGATTTAGTGTAATAATTTTATTTTACTATTCTTTTCATTTACAGCTATTTCTCAGTTGGTACGCGGCATGTTTATTCTTGATGAGCATTTCATTCTCTAGGTGCTGCATTCGTCTCAAAGTGACTTTTCAGTCAGTGATTGTTTTTGTTGGTAGGGAAATTCTTTGGATACTGTTGCAATTGGTATAATTTTGTGAGTTCGAAATTTTTGTTTGGTACGACGCTCAAAGAAGTTTGCAAGGAGTGGACCGGTGTTTGTGTTTGTATGGGGTATGATTTACTTAATTGAAGTTAGCTTATGCGTTTGGGGAGTGTGTTGGTGGTCGTTCGTTGATAATGGTACGATAGTTGTGCTGGCTAGAAAATTCTTTTGTCGATGCGAGGTTGGAGGTATATATTTTTTATAAACAGATAAATGTGTGAGTCGATAAGCGATAGTATCATGTTAGAAATGATATACTTTTGTTGAGAGTAAATCACACCTTAGGTTTGATACACTTTATAGAATTGTTTCGTCTCTTAGTATATTTTTTATGTTTTTTTACTTTAATTCAGTTAATTTCAGTTGTTTTAGTATGGGTATATTTTCAATGTTAGCTCGCTCCTTTTATCTGATATTTTCTTCCTCATGATGATTAGTTAGTACCAGGAAGGAATTGTTATGGCCGATCCTTTCTAGCCAATACGATGGTTGGCCATTCAAATGTCAAGCTGCGATGTAGTCATCATCAGCTCAGAAATGCGACTTTCGTCGCTCCATCAACCTGTTAAGAAACGATGCAGGGTGCTTATGGTTAAGATTTTAAGTGGGCGATAATAATGCAATCCTCCATTTGATTACTATTCTAGGCTTAATTTGTTAGGCTATTTTAGAGTAATTCTGGGGAAATGCGGCATCTATAAGCCGGTATTGGTGACGATTGGTCGGTGAATATGAAGTTTTGCGAGGGGGTGAGGTAGAATTTTAACAGCGAGCCTGTAACTTTTAGGGAGTTGTCCAGGATAGGGTGGGCATATATAATAGGGCACATGAGGAGAGAAGGATCATCTATCGTAATATTATGGAATTGGCATGTAGTTCAGATTGTAGTGTTATAATAATAATTCTAATGTATGGTTATGCACTGGTGCTTACTCCAGTGCATTTTTTTGTGTTGGTGTGTGCAGACTTCCGTTGATTAACCACATTCGAATGAGAATGAATCTTTATTTTGTTTTTAGAGGTTGTAGTAATCGCGTTTGATTTATGTCGTGTGCATTGACGTCCAGTGTGTCAACATTTGTATTATGGACCACAATATATCTTTAAACGCTCCGGGATGTTACGCTATTATTTTTGTATGGTTCTTGGTATTTATGAATCTGCTGACATAGAGGGTATGATAGTAAACTCGTCTACTAATTTAGATATATGAGTGTATGTAACCAGTGCTATTATCTGGATGGGCAATACTGGGGTACATAGAGCACTTTAAGAAGTCAGCACGCACTTGCAGCTCTTATAGCCCGAGCTGTAGTAGTTTACATGAGCTATAGACAATTTGCTTTCGATTTGTTGTACTAATCTGAAGAATATATGAGTGTCCGTGAGCAGAATATATTTGTCGTCTTGATTTCGAGATGTGCTGAGTGTGCGGAATGAGCTTGGTCGGTTTATGTTGGTGATGGGACATCTTGATTGTTGGCAGTTGGCGTTTAGGGGATAGGGGACGGATGTGGTGAGACATGTGTATTGTGTATGTGAAGAGTAGTTGTGCTTGCTGATGTATACATGCACACACGTACATGCACACGCAGGCATTCAAAACCCCGAGTAACCGATTGTAATCGATCATCGGTTACTTGGGTCCAACCGATGATCGATTACGAAATTACAACCGATTGACAACACTACTGGAAACCCAATATGCCTCGATAGCCAAACGGCTACAGCACAGGATTACGGCTCAAATATGTCCTTGGATCGAATCCCATCAGATTTTTTATCCATTTAACTTTTTCTTTCCAATTAAGGAAAATATTACAACAGATTTATTTACAACAATTTCATAACAACAAATAATTTTTACAATTAATTTTTTTTTTAATAGGGTTAGGTTTAGGGTCACATTAATGCACCATAAAACGAGAGTTTCAGGCACGCAATTTGTATCAACCAATGGGATTTGGGAGGTGTGCAGAATGCAGAAGGTTGCTGAAATGATGTGTACGCAACTGCGTATCTGCATATCTGCGCCTAACAAAGGTGTCACTATACGCACGACTTAAATGTTACGTTTATAACCGTAGCAACAGACCTCAGATGAGCCCAGACGCTCTGCGGCTCTTGTTTGTCAATAAATATACATTTTTCAGGTCTCAAAGGAAGCTCAGCGACCTGCAAGATCACAAGTTTCATCGCAAACCTTGTAATGCATGGCCCTCAAGACATTCCAGAGAAATGCTCTGGCATATTCTTGGCTTATGCGGGTCTTGCTGCAGACGTAACAACAGATGAAAATATCAACCCTGCAAAGATAATTAACAAAGTCTTCGAGGAACTATGCCCGTATGTAGTATGCATGTCTATGTTTAAAATTGAGAATTAGACTAAATATTTGGAAAATTTATACTTGTGGTAGAGTAGCATAATAATTATGGTAGTGTTTCTACTCAACTGGATAAAATCATGAGCGAGGTAGCAGCTAGGGTTGAATAAGTGAGTGCCGAATGCAATGATGGGAGTGCCTCATTATGTCATATGCACTCCGGCTGGTGCCTAATTTGGGTAATTATTGAGTATATGGTATGGTCGATGGAAAAATTGAGGAGGCCCATTGTCAGAACGTATCCGGACAACTACCACCCATGCAGACAATCCCCCCCCCCCGTACAGTAATTATGGCCCATCTACACACATCGGACACCAACTTAATTCATGATACCCTCTCAGGACCACCACCCTCTCACCATACTGTTAATACCAGCTAGAGGACAGATTTTAAAAAAAATTGTTTAAAAAGTTATTGTCAGAAAAGTTAACTGTCAAAAGAAAAAAATCGCTATTTTAATATATATATTAAAAAATATAATGGATTAATGACGTACTTTATTACAAAAATGTATTTTTAGATATTTTTATAGATATTCCTCTATAGTCACGAATTTCCAATTGTCTCCCAAAATGACCGTTGACAATATTCAAAAATTATTGTTTAAATTGGAAATGAATGAAAATTACATTAGTAATTGTCCGTAATGGTTATTGTCCTGGGGGGGGGGGTTAGTTGTTCGGGTTGCAGTTGTCCTAAGGGGGTAGGACATTACGATGTTTTCATCAATGGTCAGAGTCTAAGTTAATTTTAAGACTTTAATTTAAAAGATTTTAATTTTGTTTTTGATGGGTCCCATTATGTACATTAAACAACAGTCAGATGTGTGCTTGGCTTCATTGTGTTTAGCTTAAATTGCTTCTATTTCTGCACCATCCCACCATAAACACTGCAGACTAGCTAGAAACAGGAATTAGCTGCTTTAAAAGGGTACTATAATTAAGCCGGTTGGAGCAATAACAAAAATTCAATTTAAAACCTTATTTTATTCTTTCTGCAGAAAAACTGGAGAAATTATGCCCTGCTTCAATGCAATTATGGATTCGGTGGACTGCTCAGGCAGTGACAAAATTCTCCTGGGCATGCCAGGTGTCCCAGAAGATTTTCAAGATGTGACCCTCGCTGATGTTGACTTTCTTCTAACGGCAATTGTTGCTGCTTTTAAAAGCAACTGCGAAGCAAAGAATAACCCATTCGTGAATGCTCACTCTGGTATCTATTATAGCCTTTTAGTCTTATGTAGTGGTATGCTGGTCTGTTCGTAAAGATTGGGAACACCAACCTATCGAAGAGCCATTAATAATGGCATTGTTGCTGATTGATCTATTGCAAATGATATTTCCTAGGGTACTATATATAAGTATGCATTTCCATAAATATATGGGACCAAATAATTGAAATTGTATTTTTAGGAGTTAGCAAATGCAGAATTCCTCATATACTGTTCTGAGCATTCAATTTATTATAATAGTAATTAGGGTGATCCTAATCTGATGCCACTGATACTACTAGTTATTACCAAGTTATTTTACAAGTTGGTAGTGAATATTTTTGACATTTAATTCATTCTAATATGTACGGTAATGCACCTGGATTGTGAAAAGAATGTACCTATGCAATAACGTCCCGACCAAAAACCGTAATAACAAAAGTTACAAAACTATTTAGAATCGTTCCTATAAATACCAGTGACATTGTTGCGGTGACACCCCATAAACAGCCATTCACAGCCTTAGATAATGTATTTACCTGCACGTGACAAAAGAAAATTCGTAACGAAATTCGGCTGCTCGGCTCTGAGGGTTACAATGGCAGACCATTTTATGTGCTCAGGGAAATTTAATTGTACTAAGTTTAGTAAGTTATAAGATTTAGGGTATTTATTGTGCAAGGTTGCTTAACTAATAGGAAACATTTGGCTATCCTTAGCAGGGGTGGCACTAGTAGCTTTCAGGAGGAGGCGTGATATTTGAGTGAAGGCACGTGCACGCGTTGCTGGGGTGGTCCGGGGTCACGCCCCCCTCCCACCTGGAAAATTCAGACAGCTGTATGGTCACAGGAGAAATCCCAAGTTTCTATCTGCCTGTGGACTGGCTTTTTTTAGCTCATCTGACATAGTCAGATGCAGCTTGTAGAATCGCATGAGCGTGCGTGCGTGCGTCTCTCCGTCGGTCCGAGCGTCCGTCCGTGCGTTCGTCAACAGTTGGGCACAAATCTAAACGGCTCGACGTACGGATTCGAAAGTCGGGACGTGGGGGGGTAATCCGAAAACGAGTTGGGATGTCGAAGCTGGGGGTCAAAAGTCAAAGGTCAAGAGGTGTAAAAGAAGGGGGAACATTCCCTCCTTATTAACTTAAGGTATAGGGAGGAAATGCAGAATTGCGGCACAAATCTAAACGGCTCGACGTACGGATTCGAAAGTCGGGACGTGGGGGGGTAATCCGAAAACGAGTTGGGATGTCGAAGCTGGGGGTGAAAAGTCAAAGGTCAAGAGGTGTAAAAGAAGGGGGACCATTTCCTCCTTATTAACTTAAGGTATAGGGAGGAAATGCAGAATTGCAGCACAAATCTAAACGGCTCGACCTAGGCTCGTGATAGTCTGGTGTTATAGCGCAGTCCATGCGTAGGAAAAGCCATCACTGTGCCCGAAAATGTGAGCAGCGCCGGTCACAGGTCAAAGGTCAATGTGGCCACACGCGCAGATTTTTACAGACATTTTACTGAGGAACATGGTGTCTGACGCGAGCGATTGGAAAACTTTTTATTGTACAGCGGCTGACCTAGCATTTTTATGGCTTTATTGTAAAGGACCACTGAAATCTGCTTTCACTGACGCCTGCGAATAGCCCAGTAAGTGTCTGATAACCTTTTTGACCTTCAAGAGGAGCGGAATTTAAACATGGATTTGTTTAACTGTTACTGTGTTAGAGAAGAATTGACTGCTGGGTTTGCTCAGCTAGAATCATATACATGCCTTCGCGATGTATGAGGCTACAACTGTCACAGGACGTGATAATTTTCAAAAGCTAAATCTCTGTCTTGAAGAGGTTTATGCTCCCTTAAATCGCTATTAATTTTCTATGGACATTCTGTACTAGCTCAGCTGTGTTAATATGCCACCTGCCAGTGGCCACTGCCAATGCATGTGGTGCGTGATATTCATGGCTGTAGTTTTTTGCCTGCAATTAAATTGAGCGTACACGGGGGCAAGCTCTCTATTTACAGGCCTGTAGGGCTTGCTGTAGGTAAATGGACGAGTGCTTACATATATCTGTCTTGGCCAAATAGTTGTTTACTATACGCACGCTGACGATGGCAGGCCAGCCGTTCAATCCAAGCTACACAACGCGTACGCGGCCATCTCGTGGCAACTATTTCATAACGATCCAACGAACATTTTGTTCGAGAAGGCTCCTGATACACATCCAGTGTTTGAAATAAGGGGCCTATCCGCTCTTGTTCGTACTTTGTCCATTTCCACGCGCAGGCGACAAAGTAGATCTCGTCAGGACATTGTACTGCTGAGACACAAGCAGCCTTTTTAGATGCAAATTTTCATAATTTTCTACCATCGTGGCCGCTGCTGGGAAACCCGACTGTTAACATAGTATAAACATGCGGCTGCCGGAGTGCCACATCTCCCGC